GTCTGTGTGACCCCCATGGTGTATTGCAAGCATTGCTGACTTCCACGCAGCGTTTTACAGAACAACAGGTGCTGGTCAGAACACTATTGCATGTGTCTTCTGCCTCCCTCTACCGTTACACGATACCGAATTCGCTTTTTATACCACATCAACATATGCCGTTCAGGAGTAATATCTGCTCACAAAATTTTCCCTTTTATCATTTTATTTTGTCATATCGCAATTTTAAGTGTTAAGATCAGATGTCCCTGGAGCCGCTAACTTCGATGTCGTGACAAGCGAAATCACTATCGTGTTGTGGCCTATGACATAAACTATTGGGAAAATGAAAAACATAACTAACATAACAAGTTTTCGTTGGTAGGGATGCCTGGAAACACGTGCTGCATGAAAAATACAGAGCGAAATTCGACGTTTCCAGCGAAGGCCCTTCGTGGGAAGTTCATGAAAGTTAGTGCTTCCCGCCGAATCTCGAAACATCGGATTTCGCTTTGTATTTTCCAGGTAGTTGCATCCCTAACCACGAAAGCTCGTTCATTTGATTGGCACTACCTACACTAAGCAAAGACACTTCAAGATTATATCATATATAAGTAAAATAATCTATCCTGTAGAGTATAGATAACATAAACTAGTAAGATATATACCAATAAGTAACATTTCAATTGACATGACTTGATAATATATATATATATATATATATATATATATATATATATATATATATATATATATATATATATATATATATATATATATATATATATATATATATATATATATATATATAACTTGCTTGGTTGTTGAAGCCAAAACGAGTACAGTGCTCGATGCGGGAAATTCGCAGAGCTTAATATGGTGTTCAAAATGAAAAAAATGAAAAATAAAAAATTTAAAAAAATTTAATATATATATATATATATATATGTAACAAACAGAACGGCTACGTTTGAAGAAGTTTATTAAAAAAAGGTATATTAAATACAAAAACTAAATTTTCGGCTGCATGCCACAGCCTTCTTCAGAGGAAGAATTTAATATTATTCTTCAGAGGAAGAATTTAATTGTATTTAATATACCTTTTTTTAATAAACTTCTTCAAACGTAGCTGTTCTGTTTGTTACATATGAAGTCTTGTCGGCTGAGCAGAGTACTGGCATTTGTCACATATATATATATATATATAATTTAATTTCTTAACTTAAAATATAGTCACAACTCTGAGTTTCACGCTCAATGCGATCTTCAGGCGACAATGTTTAAATCTCAATAAAAAAATTCCTGTATGATTACGTGCGAGTTCGTTAGGCTACTTGCGTGATGGTATTGCGTGCGCACGTTCAAATTTTCCCGCCAAGAATTGTTTCCGGTGGCAACACTTCGAGAATAGCTCACATCTCCTGTTCAGTAATCTTTTCTTATCACCTTTCAAAATTTCGAGTTTCTCTTGGAGGCATAGGTTGCAACTTTTTGCGCCGCTGCGATAAGATGATGCTTGCTTCAGAATGGACCACTTGATGTTGAATGTACGTTCCTTGTTTTTCAAGTTCCAAATGTGTTTGGACAGCTCAGTGGATTTTACATAGCTCGTATCTTTGAATGATGTCTTGTGGTTGTAATAACGTTTCTTGAACGTGTTTGATGTCATCCCAATATCATCTCGAATTACTCCTGTGTCGTCCGTAACCTCGGCTTTATAAACAACGCTCTTTGTAAGGCAATTATTGTTTAAGGGACATTCAGTGCTTTCTATGCAGTTACAGTTGTCTTTGGTAGATGCTACAACAACAGTTTTATTCTTTAAAAGTGTACCGAGGTTATGTTTGGAGATGACGCTTTTACAGTTATCCATGCAACTGTAGCTTACTTTGACCGAGTTTCTGTTAAAGATCTTGTGTAGTGGGTTAGACGCAGGGAAATGTTTGTCAATCAGGTTTAGAAAGTTTCTACCAACATTTATATATATATATATATATATATATATATATATATATATATATATATATATATATATATATATATATATATATATATATATATATATATATATATATATATATATATAAATATATATATATATATAAATTGAATAATTCTACAAATTATTTAGTTCTCTGGATTCTAATTTAAGTGTTTTGTGCTTTCGACTCGGTACTTCAAGCCTTCATCAGATAAAATGCCTGGATTACAAATCTTCAACTCTATATATATATATATATATATATATATATATATATATATATATATATATATATATATATATATATATATATATGTATATATATATATATATATATTTAACAAATATGAAACATTTTCCGTGTTGATATACAGTTATATCAACACGAGTGGAATTGGGGAAACGAGAAATTGTATGGAAACACGACACCCGAAGGGCGGAGTGTTTTCATACAATTTCGAGTTTTCCCAACTTCCACGAGTGTTGATATAACTATATATCAATACAGAAAAAATGTTTTATATTTGTTTTATAATATAGCAATGTCCAAAGCCCGAAGAATAAGAAAAATTTCCGTGTTTACAAGCGGCGGAAAATTTCCCGTGTTGACATGGAGTTATATCAACACGGCTCTTAGCCAATCAGCGTTCAGAATTTACAAATGCTATATTATAAATATATATATATATATATATATATATATATATATATATATATATATATATATATATATATATATATATATATATATATATATATATATATATATATATATATATATATATATATATATATATATATATATATATATGAGGGGGGTAATGGGGTATTTTCGTGCTCCGTATTGGGGTAATTTAATTATTCGTTCTTCGTTCAGTCATCTTTTTATTAAACGTTTTTTCGATCCCGACATGGACGCCGTGTATCGTGCTTGCGGTGTATTCAATATCCGTTCTCCGTTTTCACCAGTATTTAAGACGGTTATTTTTCGCTTCTGGACAAGATACTCCATTAATTTTGTTTCTGGATTTTAGCTATGTTTTGATTGGGGAACGCAGGTTTCAAATTTCATAAATCATGAACATCGACGCAATTGTAAACAAATAGGTGAACACACCGCCCAGTACAGACTGTTTATATATATTCACCTTTAAGACCTCTAAGACTGTAAGTATGGTTGTTGCTTACATTTCATGTTCCCTTCACATTTCAGATTCGTAATCAATTTGTTATTTTACGTGCTTCAGGACTTCCTTCTTTTATTTTTCATGTTTCAAGATCGCTGCATATTATTTCTCGTGCTTCAGGATTGGTAACCCCACC